CAACGCAAATAAGCAGACATTTAACATTACACTTAAAAGTTGTTTTCTAAGGGATGAGACAATTGCTAACTTTATTAGAACAATGATGTTACTCATGAGGCCAAAAAAAAGGGCAAGTTATAGACGTTTCTCTCATAATGCCCTCCTGTCACAAATAGTACAAATTTTCTTTTAGTTTAACCTCGTCACAAATTGTTTCAGAGGAAGAGGAAGGGCTCTCCAGCCAATATCACGGCGGTAGAACCCTCCTGGCCAATTAATTTCTTCTACGCCTTGATATGCCCGATCGCATGCCTCTTTGAGGTCTCTTCCCTTGGCAGTCACTCCAAGAACACGGCCCCCAGCAGCAATGAAGTTGCCATCTGGATCCAGGGCAGTTCCTGCATGAAATACCTTAACAGATGGAGCAACATTTTCTGCTTCATCAAGGTTTCGAATTACACTTCCCTTCTCATATGGCCCTGGGTACCCCTTACTTGCCATTACCACCACCATGGCTGACCCGGCCGACCAGTTCAACGACACCTCACTTAGCTGTCCTCTACAAGCTGCAAGTAGAACTTGTGCCAGATCAGACTCCAGACGAACCATCAAAACCTGTTTATCATAAAAGGCAAACAAGCACCCGAAATCCATGTTAATGTGTTGCTCACTACTAATCTAAAACAATACAATCTGAACGAGACACGAGACAACTAGATTGTTATGCCTGAGTACCACAAAAGATGCTGACCTACCTTTAAGCACAATATTTATATATGACATGCAACCCACCACTCAACAACCTATCAAAGTAATGGCCAAACTAGCTATTTGGAATACTGATAGTGCACATGCAGAATTTATGCTACGTATGAGATTAAGGGTGCAAAGAAATCCATTAAATTGTATACTCATAAGCCACATCACATCACTCTTGCCCAGTAGCACTAGGATAACTTCAGAAAAAGACAAATATAGTTAAGTTAGTTCCAAACGACAATGGCCTTTCACAATCTTACTTTCCTCTATCTCCCTAAACTTAGTTAAGTTAGTTCCAACTTCTACCTGCATATGCATAATACATACTACGACTCCCACACTATCCTAATATCAATCAGATCCATAATTTCATTACTTCATCAAACAGAAACGCACTTTTAATTCTTGAACCTAAATTGTTGCCTGCAAAATGGGCAAAAAGTTCTGGATAAAGGCTTCACGAGTGGTAAAAATCATGAGGTAAATTAAACAAAAATTGTATGAGAGTTCAAGTAAAAACTGATTATAGGTATTTAAAATTAGCAAATGAATCAAATATTTACATATCTACTAGGGGTCTGTATACTGACCTGACACTCTGGATCGCCAAACCGCACATTGTACTCAATTAGCTTAGGTAAGCCAGACTTCTTCTCTATCATGAGTCCAGCATATAAAACCCCAACAAACTTGCAGCCCTCTGCTGACATTCCTTTCACAGTAGGGTAAATGATGGATTTCATCACTAAATCTTGAAGTTCTTTAGTTAGGATGGGGGCTGGTGAGTATGCACCCATTCCACCAGTATTGGGCCCGGTATCGCCATCCCCAACACGTTTATGGTCCTGAGCAGATTCCAGAGGTATAGCATTCTCTCCATCCACCAGAGCAAAGAAAGACGCTTCTTCTCCTTCCAGATATTCCTCAACAATGACACGACAACCTGCAGAACCAAAAGAACCTTTTACAAGCATTGAATCAACTGCTTCAAAAGCCTCGTCCAAAGTCATAGCAACAATAACTCCTTTTCCAGCAGCCAATCCATCTGCTTTGACAACAATAGGGACCCCTTGCTTTTGTATATATTGTTTCGCAGCAGATGGGTCTGTAAATGTTTGATACTGTATCAATTAATCAATGCATTAGTAACACATGTTTGTATGAAAATCGCCACACAAGAACTGAAAAATCAAATTCATTGTAAAATGCTATTCATTTTTCACATTCATTTTCTTGTTCTAGTGATCATAAGCAAGCTATATTAAATTTAGCAACACCCTTTATCTCTCTTAAAGAATATCAAACATAATGAACAAACCTCAGCAGTAGGTATTCCATACTTGTCACACAAACTCTTCATAAAGTTCTTGGATCCTTCCAAAGCAGCGGCCTCAGATGAAGGGCCGAAAGCATGGATTCCAGCCTTAAGCAGATCATTTACAAGGCCTGCAACAAGTGGGGCCTCCGGTCCAACAACGACAAGTCCCACATCCCATTTACGGCAGAATGAAATCACAGCCAAGCTATCGGAGATGTCCAGGTCTGAAATACAAGTGGCATCCCCAGAATTGGAAATTCCAGGATTGCCGGGGGCGCAAAAGATGGCATCACAAGAAGGCGATCGCTTCAATGCATAGCAAAGAGCGTGTTCCCTTCCCCCACCACCAATAACCAAAACAACCACCCGCTCTTCTTCTGCAACATCAGTAGGCAAACAAGAAACTAAATTCCATGCAACTATCCAAGCCATTAATTATACAAATGCATACAGAGTTTTCAATACCAAACACTTATACACATAAATAATTATACTTGCAGGTATTGCCATTTTCCACAAAATCAAAAATCAACTAGAAATCTGACAATAAATAAATAACAATAACTAGATAAATAGATAAATAAAACAAAACAAGAACTAGTCCACATAATGAAAGTTGCAATTTTTTCCCAATAAAAAGTTCAATTTCGAAATACATATGTGGAAATTAGTTTCTGACAAACAAAATTAAAGAAATAACACTATTAAAAAGAGATAATCAAAGAAAAAGCATGAAAATTGGGAGAAAAATCAAGTGAATTGTCAAAAATTACCAGGAGCAGCAGCAGTAGATTGGGCGCGAAGGGAAACGGACGGCCGTGATTTGTGGGCATGGCAAGTGAGAAAGGTCAATGATGGGCCGTTGAGATTGCGAGAGCGGATGGGCCCCACAAAGGAGAGGAATGGCTTCGGAGAACGAAGGAAGTGAGTGTTGGTGTTGAGTTTGAGAGAAGCAGCTCCGACGAGGTCCAACGTTGCACAACCCATTTTCTCTCCCCTGTTTTCTTTGTTCCGAAACAGCCCCTCTGGGATTTAAGGATTAAGTAAGCAAGCAGGCGTCTGTGTGTGTAACCCTGCTTGGAAATGGGAAATTTAAAATTGAAATGAAGAAGAAGAGAGCATGGCTTCGGGGTTTTGGGTGGGTTTGTGTTTTTTTTTTTTGTCATTCTGAGGGGCTGAGGGTTTAAGGTATTTTAAGAGGAAAGGCACTCCAGATTTAATTAAAGAAATAATTTAAAAAAAAAAATCAAATAAGACTAAAAACAAAAATAATAGCCAAGAAAACCGAAATATACTTTTCTATACACCCTATCTTTAATTTTGTACAAAAATGATATGACTGTACGGATAATATCAAACACACACAACCTCACCTGTATTCTTAATCACTTAATTTACAAGACTGTTTCTTATTCTTTTTTTCTTCTTCATATAAGCGATAATAAAGAAGGGAAATACGAACACAGAGTTTTGAATACATGAATAACTAATGTTAAACATGCTCTAAATTATAAATAAGAATAAATAAAATAAAAAATCCCTCTCTTTCACATAAGCATGTGAAAATCCACCATATATAAGAAAAGAAAGAAAATAATATCAACAAAAAAGGCCCTCTCTCTAAGTCCTGTTGAAGGAGACATATTTGTATATTCCAAGTACACCACGTGGTTGGTATATCATTCAATATATATAGGACATGTGAAAATATTTTATTTTTATTTTCTATGTGTAATGGATAAAATATCTATATATTGTGTGTATTGAATGGTACACCAGTCGCGTGTTGTACGCACTTCTATGTCTCTTCTCAATCGTTGTGGGCATGAATGAAGTATATGCTGTGTGCGTTGTGGGCATGCCATGTGGTGTACACCATCCTAACTCGGATTTGCGTGCGGAAAACGGGAAGATTTGTCTTACCTTGTCAAACTGTGGGCTGTTTGTTTGCCCATTGGTTTTCAACTTGCCATGAAAACAAGCCAAGTTTTTCTTTCTTTTTAATTTAGAAAGAAAGAAAGAAAGAAAAATTGGGAAACCAATTAGTGACACATATTCCTTTTCTTTGTTTGCTTTGCTTTATGCCTTTTTCTTTTCACATGCACTATATGACAATTTGCCTTCTTCTCCAGTCATATGGCACCGCAACCGCATGATGAGAAAAATAGACGAAATTGTATATAGTCGGTTGAAAGCAAGAAAAAATCCTACTTTTTTTTTTCCATGTCCTCCATTTTCTCATAATCCAGATAGCCTTTTAATGGAAGCAAGAATAATAATATTATAAAGTCCTACAAAACAAAGCATGTATATATTCTTTTTTTTTTTTTTTGCTTTCTTGTTAATTTTTTTATATAAAAAAAAGGTTATCTAGGTCAATATATGGCATATATAAAAAAGATAACCAAAAAGGATTGAACACATACGCATTAACATCAAGCCCATCCCATAATACAAAGTAAGCTAGGAAATACAGGATCATGTCTTGTGAAGAAACTTGGTTTTTTCTTGTCTTTCGAGAAGCCAATTTTACAGCAGATGCTACCGCTGACTTAAGCCATAGCCTATCCACTTCCTGTGTTTGGGAGTATGATTTGCCGCTGAACTATTCTTTTCCTTTTTATTTTGATTTATTTGAGCCTGCGTGCCCTTAGTTTTCTCTTGTGATTGTTCTTATTTCTCCACTAAAATTAAAAAAAAAAATTACAGGATCAAATTCCAACAGTCCAAGCAAGCCTGTCTTTTTTCATTTTTCGTTTTTCGTTTTCATTCTTTGTTCTTGGTCCAATCTAGCAAAAGCCTATGGATGTAGATCCAAAGGTAACTCTGCGGCTTAAGCAATTGGAGTCTATGGTCAAAATCTCCTTATTCTGGTTGCATCACAACTTCTTTACCATGGGAAACTTAAGAGCAATAAATGATATTCCAGTACAAACAAACATCTCCAAATTAATTTCCATTTAAACTTTCCAAAAATACATGCCAAATTCAAATACCACACGTAAATTCCTGTCTTTCGGTTTGAGCAAGCACCGTATCAACGTAATTCTGCAAATGTATGATCCACATTGTTCAAATTTAAAGCAACAAGACTGAATCGAAACATTCAACAAATTACAATGCACAAAAATTACACCAAGGAAGAAACACTCTCTGTACGTATATATATTATCTTAAATTCCTTGCGCTTGGAGTCACAATAAACATACATGTAATTTATATTTGGTCTTCAAATAAGCATACAAAACCACCTCTATCCGCATGCAAACTTAAAGCCTCAGATTTCCTACAACGTTTCGGGAACTTTGGCATAACACTCTTACTACTCACGGTCACAGGACACCAGATGACAAGTACAAAGGTAGAGAGATTTTACATATGTTGATACAAGACCATATTGGAGTGAGAGGGCAAGCAGATGCAAGAGACGTTCATAGAAGTTGCTAGGTGTGCAAAGCCATAAATAAGTTCTGCTTACGGGCATGCTCCGGGATAAGTCGATTGACTATGTCAGGTGTAATTCCTTGAAGCTCTATCAAAGAGAATAGAAACATAAAAGGGGCATTAGGAACATGGAAAACCAAATATAAATCATTTTAATGGATGCAAAACTGCACGTACAAGGAAAAAGAAGAAAAGACACCCTCTTGGTTTTTGTAATCTGTTTTCAACTAATGTACTGTTTCCTACTTCTCTCTCAGTCACTTCGTTGTTCTTTTTTTGGTAATAAGAAACATAATTTCATTAAGAAGAGAACAGATCAATACAAGGGACAAGTTGTCCATTGGGGTCTAGCTATCTAAACAACTCAACAAAGACTGCAAAGCATAGCTGCGCAACAAAGATACACTGCACCACACCAACAAAACTAGTAGTGTACAGCAGAATTCCAATCATACAATATATCCTGAAAGGAACCACCCCTAACCTCTGAAGATACCAACGGCCAAAGTGAATCCCAAAAATGAATCCTATCCCATAGAAGATCCACCCCCACATCCCTTGCTCCCCCCTCCAAAAGTTCTATTCCTCTCCACCCACACCCCACCCAAAAGATTGCCATGACAGCACATCTCCCAAACACCATGCCAATTATAAGAGCACAAGAAGTAAAAACCCCTAATTTAGCACAAAGACCACAAACCCTTGATGCCCCTACAGCTTCTCTATTTTCTTACGATTATTATTTTGTACCTTGTTTTTAACTGTAACACCTCAAACTCAGAACTTCCTCAACAGAGTGGTTTGAATCGTGCTCGGAACGGAAATTAGTTGTTCAGTGTATTTTGGCCTTCTCAGTTTTGTGAAGAAAAGCATTATAAGCCATAAAATTAAGCAGATACGACAGCGGCATAGAAACATGGAGTTGGACACGGCCAACCCCAAGAGTCCAGACAGGCAACAAGGACTAGAAAATTATATATTGCTTCATAGTTTCATATGGGAACAACATCTATTTGAAGTCCATGTTACTTAAGGGCAGCCTAATGTGGCTTAATAACTAATGCCATCTAATTACATACATGCAGCACAAAGTTGTTGAAAAGAAACAAAACCCATCTTCTAAATTATATCTACATATTTATGAATAGAGACTATTACTTGACGCAATAGTCGTAATCAAGTTAAATAAAATTAGAGAGAGGACCACTAAATGAAAGATCAGAAAAGCACTAGACAGCCATTTCTCGTATAATAATTTTGAATTCACAACTTTTCAAGGCTAATATAACGTCATATCCCAAATATAGTTTTGTTGATGTAAAGTTCAACAGTGCTATGACACAATCCATCCATTTTTTCCACATTAGATTAAAGAACTTGTAATTATCATAATAACCAAGAAGCCACTAGCAGCAATCTCCATAGGAAGTGAGAAAATTGAGATTGTATCATATGTTTATTGTAATAGATACTAATCAAACTCACCCTGGGATTTAAAGTTGAATAAAGGAGGAAGAGGGCGACCATTAGGAAGACGAGTATTTGGGTCTCTCAATTCATCAAAGAAAGGATGAATGCAAGCTTCCAACTGCAAAACCAATGGAGAATAGTGATTAGCACTGAAAGATAATATCCACTGAAGGAACAAAAACAATGTAAGTTATACTTACAGCAGTGCATCGCAGATTGGGGGAATACTGGAAAAACCTACAAACAAGATCTACTGCTTCTGGGGGCAAGCGTTTTTGGAATACCTATAACATGACAAGAATATCATACTGAATCTCCATTGTAAATGAAACTCTTTTGAGAGCAAATGCTAATTACAAAACAAAATGCACAATACCACTAATGATGGAAGTCACATATGAACATGGATATAAACATCATATCAATGGGAACGGGCATACTACATTCTGCATTAGAAAATATAATTTGGGGGAAGAAAAGGAACATGTGAAGGCAGTCAGGCAGTCAACATGCAGGATGAAGCAGTTTTTCATGACTTCATTTAAACAGGGCTTTTTCGAGCTTGAGCCAACAAATCTTTCACTTAGCAATCAGCAAACTTAAGCTAAATCCCTATATGGCAGGTCATTAACATTTTTTCCTGCCCTTCAACACGTGCTTGGAAAACAGTATACCTAAATGAAAAAACTTCTATTTACTTGAGCAATCAGTGAAATCATTTATAAACCCATTTTCAACTCATAACTAAAGAAAATATTTTCACTTTATCTACCTAGTACAATCTCCTCTAACAAAACTTGGGAGTGGACTGTTAAAGATACCAACCAAATAAACAAAAATTACCCTACTCACTACCAAAGCATTACTGGAATCATTACTAGTGTTGCCCCATAATGGACTCCTTCAGAATCAGCAACAAGAGGAGCAGACTTCATGCTGTAAGTTTGATAATGATTATGTACACATTTCAGTGTAACAATACAATTAAGGTTTAATAATTTAAATCACGGCTTGATTGATCAAATGAAATTATAAATGAGTCATGTGTGAACTTTTGAAAGTCAGAAGCAAACATGAAAGGATAGTACATGAGTAAGCAAAGACACACCTTATGCCAGGGATGAGGCTTTATCTGTGGGAATTTGAATTCAGTATAGTTTGGATTCATGCACTTTATCTCCTCCCTAGTTGGAGTTCCCAAAACCTGCACAGAGTTTAAGATACACAACGTGTCTATTTAAGAATTCCTTCTTTTCATAATTGTGGAGAGTTGAAGATGTATTAAAGAAAAGATAATATATGGAAAGGATGTATTTTTGTGGGCAATTGCTTCTTAAAGACTAGAACTTATTTTATACTTTTACAACTCTATAAATTTTTTTCCATCCTGTTTCATATTTCTATTCACCACTCAAAAGGAAAAACAGAAAAAGAAAAACGGTGACATTCAAATGAGAAAAGAGTTTACGATAGTTGATACCGAAAAACCAATCAGTGTCTCAAACACAGTCAACCCAGACAGGGTCCAAGACAACTCATATACTCAACCCTGATGGTTTTAACTCATAGTTCTAATCCAAAACTTTAAGTGCACTAAATTAAAAAGAAAATGGAAATCAACATATAAGTACATAGATGACCTCACCTTAATGATCTCAACTAGTTGGTCAACTCCACTTTCGCCAGGAAACAAGGGCTGCAAGAGAAGTTGGCTTGACAATATTAAATACTTTTAAGGAAAAAAAAAAAATTAATATTCACATATTTGAGTACCAAACCACCTGCCCAAGAAGTAATTCAGCCATCACACAACCTGTAGACCATATATCAATAGCAGTTGTGTACTCAGTGGCACCAAATATCAATTCTGGAGCACGATAATATCTTGAGCAGATGTAAGAAACATTTGGTTCTCCTTTCACCTGATACAATGGAAACAGGGGACCTTTGTCAATAAATGAAATTAAGAAGGACCCCTTCATCAGTAAACAGGATGACCTGAGATATGAGATACTTACTAATACTTTTGCGCTCCCAAAATCACAAAGTTTCAGCTGATGCGTGTGAGGATTCACCTGAATAACAGGTAGCATTAGAGCATGATCAAAAATTCGAATCACAGAATACATCCACACACATATATACGCATATACAAATATGAAAATTCTCTAAAGAAGACATCCACATTTATAAAAGTAAAAAAAAAGTGCAGACATCCTTGTAGGGCCACCCTGCAATGTACCGGATCAAGAGATATTGTTGCAAATTAGCCAAATGGGAAATTATTTATACATCCAATTGTCAACAGACAAATAGACAATGACAGTATTTCTGATAATAAACATTAAAATGATGATGATAATCAAATGGGAAAACAATTTTCAAATTCACTAATTATTTACCCAGATGTTTCTTAAAGAGGGACCACTGGCTCTGCTTAGGAACCCAGGGAATTGGTGTGGCAGATAGCATACAGATAAAGTATTATACAAGAGCACCCAGTTCTTCAGGAAGGAAATAGAAAATATCTTACAAGTAAGTTCTGAGGCTTAATGTCACGATGGCAGATTCCAATGCAATTATGTATATAAGCAAGAGCCCTGCATATCTGCACCAAAATAAAGTCGGAAAATAGAAAACAATACTTTAAAAAAAAAGGAGACACTAATAGAAATTCAAATTACATAGTAGCTGTGGGAGCAGATATTTTCGTCTCCAATCACAGCTCGCCACGTGGAAAAGAAGATTATCTCTTTTAATTAATTAATTGAACCAGTTTATCTGGCCAATTAATTAATTGGGATAAATATCTTAATTAACATGATATTATCTTTATTTAATAAGATAATATCATTAATTAAGATATTATCCTAATAAAGAGAAGATAATGTCATTATCTCAGATATTATCTCCATAAAAAGAGATAATATCATTTAATTAAGATATTATCTCCATAAAAAGAGATAATATCATT